GTCTCGGCCCGCCCGCCCGGGACAGGCTGCGCGGCGGCGGGGAAAACATCAATATCACCAGATCCGGGGCGGCGAGGCAGGCGGAGAAGCTGCGGCAGTCCGTGCAGGCGCCAGGCCAGCCACGGCGCTCCGCTCTGCGTACGGCTAATCAGGCGTCCCCAGGCGCTGCGATGGATAGAGTTGGGAGCACAGGGCCAGCACCTCAGGACTGCCACCTTTCTCTGGCTAGGCAGCTCTAGGACAGAAGGAGCCGTAGTACGTGCGTCGTTCCCCCCAACGCCGCAGGTCTGAAAGGCACAGCAGCATTCGAGAAGGGGCAGCCCGCTAAGGCGCGAGAGGCGCAACCACACCTTGACTCCTCGCAGTCCCTCCCGTCCGTGGTCTAGTGCGAGAAAGAGGTGTGCGCGGACTCCAGGAACTCTCGGAAAGGCGGGGACAGACGACCGGGACCCCTCTAGCCGCGCCTTCGAAACAGCGCTCCTTGTTCTCTATGGTCCCCGCGCGGCCATCTCAGCGTACGACACTTCCGGTTCCTTTTAAAGGCACCACGCTGTGCGGCAAGGCGCGTGAGAGAAGGTAGAAAAGAGAACGAGAAGGCGGGACCGAGGAGGAAGGGGAAAAAAACCTAGCGGTAGAGGGGGCGGGTGAGGCGCAAAGGGCGCGCTCTCGCGTCACGTGACCGGGACGCGCCGTTCTTCCGTCGGCCATTTTAGGTGGTCCGCGGCGGCGCCATTAAAGCGAGGAGAAGGCAAGAGCGTCCGCCGCTGCTTCTTATTCCTTTTTAGCGCAGCCGGAGAGAGCGGGAGTGTGCCGCGCAAGAGTGGGAGGCGAAGGAAGCAGGCCAGGGAGAAGCGCAGGAGCTTTTGCAGCCACGCGCGCGCCTTCTCTGTCTTGTGTGCTTCGCGAGGTACAGCGAGCGCGCGGCAGCGGCGGCGATTACTTTGCTGCTAGTTTCGGCTCGCGGCAGCGGCGGGTGTAGTCTCGGCGGCAGGAGAGGCAGTAGCACTATGTCGGAGGAGCAGTTCGGTGGGGACGGGGTGGCGGCGGCGGCAACGGCGGCGGTAGGCGGCTCGGCGGGCGAGCAGGAGGGAGCCATGGTGGCGGCGGCGCAGGGGACAGCGGCGGCGGCGGGAAGCGGAACCGGGACCGGGGGCGGAACCGCAGCGGGAGGCACCGAAGGGGGCAGCGCCGAGTCAGAGGGGGCGAAGATCGATGCCAGTAAGAATGAAGAGGATGAAGGGTGAGTAAGGGGCGGCCCGGGATAGTCAGGCCCAACTAATTCCCCTTCCTTTTCCCCTCCCCCGCCATTAGGCCTCGTTCCTGCTTTTCCGTCTCCGGCCCTTCAGACCCCGATGTAGCCACTTTGCACTATTTTCTCTTCGTTTCAGTAGGACTCCCCGGGGCCTTCATTTCCTTCTCTCCCTGCTTACTTATCGCCCCTCCCCCATCACACACGTTTCCACCTTTAGCCGTCACCATGCTGCTCCCCGGCCCGCCCTCCTTCCTTCCCTAGTCGTGGGTCTCCTCCCACCGATTTAGCCGCCGGGATTTTTTCCCGCCTGTGGAGGGATACCTTTTTTATTTGCCGTTGTCCTCTTCCTCGTTTTCTAAAGTCCCGGCCATAAAAAAAAACAGACAGGCACGAAAGCCTTTCTGTGTGTAGTGGTAAGGGTTGGCGTTTCTCCCTCCATCCCGAGACGATGGGATTCTTTATAAGGACGTGATTTTGGGATCGTGTTAGAGTGCTGTTCACGTCTGCTTCTGTTGCCTCAGCTTCAGGCAAGATTTTTTTTTTTTTTTTTTGCATCTTGAAGAAGTTTTGCCTTGACCTGATAGTTTCCTGCACTGTGCACTATAGCACAACGACATGCTTGTATAGGGCCTGTATTTCAAGCTACGGAACAAATTGGGCCTGGTAAAATGCTTGGAGTCATCTTGGTACGTTGGCTTTGCTCCGCGGGCTTTCATTAAGTTCTGGTCTGCGGGGCCTGCACTTGACCGGAGCTGTTCCTACCTGTGGCCTGCTGGCTGCCCTTCCCCCACCCCGCTGAGTTATTCTAACCGCGCACCCTTTTCGCGCCCTCAGCTATTGGGTTCCTCACCTTGAACTGCTCGTACACGTTGTACTCTTAGATTACTTTTTCTGAGTAACACTTATTTTCCTTTTTACAAAACCTGGGTTTTTTTTTCCTCGGTGACCAGGATCCATTTTCGTCTCTCTTGATTTCTTTTTCCCGCCCACTAACCTACTGTTAAAAAGGAGGTCTACCCGCCTTGTTTCACAAAATGAATGAAAAGCAGTGTATTGTGCTAAGGAATGTATTTATATATTTGTGTGTATATATACACATACACACACTAACTTGCTTTCTCCAGTTGGAGTAGCAGTTGTACATAGTGCTTAAAGCTGCATTAAGTATATTAAAATGCAGCATTTGGGAGCGGGAGCATAATACAGGAGTTAGCAGGAGGGACTAAATCAACGTCCTTGCTTGAATTTTCTTCCTATTCCCCTTACCGACTGCTGATCCTGGGTTAATGCTTCCATTTATTTCTTGGGACAGTGTCCCCCCACCCCCATCCCTGTCCCCGTCCCCCTCCCCACCCCCCATCCCCGAGAAAGATGTTGGTGGAAGGTAAAAGCAATAAAATGTTGCTTTAATCTAGTATTAGAAAACAACAATTTTCTTCTTTGGGGAAGAGAGCACAAGATGTGGAGCGGGGAGGGAGAAGCATTTTGGAAATAGGATTTAATAATACCGGCCCAGGCAGATACTCGTCAGGCTGTTTTGCTGATTGTGCTGGCTTTGGGGGGAGTGGGTGGGAGGGGAAACTAGCTTTTTTGGTTAAATAGAACTAATCTTGAATTATGTATAGGGTAAGAAAGGAACATTTTAAATATGTGGAAACATAAACCTTTAACGTTTTGGTTTTTGTTTTCTGAATTTTGTTCTTTGGTCAGAGGCACCAAAGTGATTAATTGCACACAGTTGGTGCAGACTTTCTATTAGCCTTGAGTTATCAGATTGCAAAGCAGTTTCTTTTGTAGTTATCTACTGTTGAACTGAAGTGTAAATGAATTAAAGTTTTTAACCCTAACAATGCCAAAAACTAAAACTAGAATTTTGATTGGTTGCTGTACCGGTTGTTAATTCCCTAGCCATTCAAACTCCTCCCCACGACACACTGAAGCAGCGACGGCACAGCGGGAAGAATGGTAAAACTTTTAAATTTTATTTCTGTATTATAAAGGTTTCGATAGCCATAACATGCAGAGGCTTTGTATTAGTTGCCCATTGATTCCCAGGAAATTCTAGACGTTAGTACAGTAGGATATTTTGTACCTGGGATATAAAAATATAAAATCTTTTTAGGCATAGTGTGTAATCTTTGGGCAAAATTGATGCTATTATATTGTTTCGGTCTGTGTAATGCATGTAATTTCGGTTTGGCCAATTTAAACTAAATATAATCAGTAACTTTTATATTTGGGCAAGAAAAATATTACTGTAATTTCAATATTGACTTTGTTAAGATGGAAAATTTGTTGGAATTCTAAGTTTAATGCTAAAGGTTACTTGATATAAAATTGTGTTTTAAAGTGTCTTGCATGTTATATTCAAATATTCTGTTAGAAGTAAAACAATTTTAAAATGGTGTTGTATATATGTATCATGTGAAACTGTTACCTTTTATCACCAGCGATATTTGTATATAAAATTTTAATGAGAATTGAATATGAACCATTTAGAGGAGATCTGGTGTGGCTTTCCACTACACTTCTTTCAGATTTTTTTTATTTTCAATGTGATTTGGCTGAATGTTAGTTATAATTGAGTGCCATGTAGTCAAAATTGCATGACTCGTCTTTGGAAAGCCTGATAGGTTGAGTATTGTTCTTTTTATCCCTCTCTTCCCCTCCCCTAAATGTCAATCTTTCCACCTTCAGGAGCATATTTGAGTTTTCCAGGGGTTTGTATCCACCAGCACTGGAGTTTGGAGGGCCACAGGTGAATTAAGTAATTTGCAGATAGTTGACTTATTTATCCTTGTATAAGTTACGTTTTATTTTAAAAGCCTAGTCAGAATAAATTTGTGATTTCATACAAAACTAACTACTGTCTTCTTACGTACTGAAGTCTGTCCAGTTTTTTTGTTGGAAATAAAGCAGACCAGAAACAGGCAACGGGGAAAGCAGAACGAAAAAAAGTAAATGAAAGACTGAGTCAGAGTTTGACATAGAATAAAAAGATTATATGAACTTAATCTATTTGATGGCTAGTGAGCATTGTGGTAGTTCAGTTTCACTGCTAGTTAAGAGTGGCAGAGCATAGATGATATTAAATTATAGCTGTATTTGAAAGGCTTTTCTATTCCATTTTGTATTTCACATTGAAATCATAATTGTTTTCTGTAAGTTTAAATGGCCATAAATTTAGGTTTTAAGGTCGTTTGACTGTTAGAGTACTTGCCCTGCTACCTGGTAGTATGTAATTTTACAACTTTTTTGGGTGACCCTTTAAGAAAAATGAATAATTAAATATAGTTAATGAACGTGTTAGATCATGACCAGTTGTCATCCATAGAAAATAGGTTTTTACTGAGGTTCATTTGAAGTTAAGGAAGTTTTACACTTGCAAATAATGCAGTTCTCGTTGTAAGATCTATTATGAGTTTTGTTAACAACTGCCCAAATCACCCAGCAATATCATGTTCCTCTCAAGACCTTTAAATCTTCTTGTGGTGTCTGTGCGTGCGCGTGCGCGCTCTTGCCACCTTGTCTCCTCTTTTCTGTCTCTCATTTTGAAGGATATTGGGCAACAGTTTAATAATAATAGTCTCAATACTGAGGATAAGCTTGGTTATTAAATAAAATTAAATCTAATTTGTTAAGCACATTACTTTGCATTTTCTTTTACAGTGCTAACTTGAGAATAAAGTAATGACAATTTTATCCTAAAATTATTTCAAAAATACAGTTTATTGTGTTTATGTTTTTTGTGGTTTTTTTTGGATGTAAGAATGAACAGAACTGTTTTTAGGAAGGCATGCCTGTTAAACCTCTAAGGGATGGTTGTACAGTTTACTATGGGAGTTGTCTCTCAAATTTTTCCAACTTTTAACATTATCCCTAGTTTTTACTTACAAGCAGTTGCACTGGAATTAAATGGTATGGACTTGTTATGTTGTTTACAGTGTTGCTGTTTTTTGGGGTAGGTACTTTAAAATTACTTATGTGTCTGGCAAAATGATACATGCCATGTAGCAAGCTAACTGGAGGTGGGGTGTGGATAGAGATTTTAAAGTCTTAAGATCAGTGGAGAATTAGAGTTTTGTATTAGCTTTTAGACATAGTTTTACATTGATTTGACTGAATTGGGTTAGGCAGACGGGAAAATAGTCCCGTTTAATTATCAGCCAGAGTACAGTAGTACTTCATTCTACAGGCAGTATAGTCCCATACCTCTCAGTGTAGAAGCTCAAATGTAATGAACCCACACATGCTTTTGTTTTAAATATTCGAAATTATAATTTATATTGTAGCGTTTATGGAGCAATCTGAACATTGCTTTGTAAATGTAATTATTTTTAGGGCAATCTCATGCCAAACTTACTGACCTTTTGATTCAGTAAAACTGAGTTTACTGTGAACAGTAAAGTTGAGGCCTTGAGAAGAAGGGTCTCAATTTTAGCATTCTTTGGAACATTTGACAAGTTGCCGGTATTAAAATCATGGAAATTGCTGCCCCCAAATCTTAAGATGCTGAATGTGTAAGGGAGAAGTATAAGATTCTTTCAAATTCCTACCCTGAAAGATATAAAAATCAACTGAATCTTTTAGGTTTAGAATTGGAGAACGTTACTGAAGTTTTTTAGTGCTTTTTGGGGTACATGTGCCTTAAACATTGTCTTAAACCTGGGGTATTTTTCTTAAGCCATGTGTCCCCTTCTGCATGTTTGTTTTTAATGTATTTTTCTTTTAATTTAAATTTTGCCTGGATAGGCCTGTAAGGCCACACTAAGAACATTTGAGTCTACCATTGTGGTGTGTGATTTATGGCCAATATGGAGGATGATTAGCCATCACTGAAAGCATTTAAAAAGGAATAGAATATCCACCCCCCCCTTTAAAACTTTGTACGTTAAGTCTGTGCAGATTCACAAATGGAGTAAAACATAAGTTTTGTTAGTTCCCAGTTTGATTTGACTTTTAGTTTTGCTTTAACGTTTTAGTAGATAGGGCACTGAACTGGATGCTGGAAGCATGGGATCTGTTTCTGTTACTTCACTTTCAACAACAGTGTGGTCTCAGGTAATATAACGTGTTTGTTAACTTGGTTTGCTGATCTGTGTTGGAAACAATGCTCATCATGGGAAGATTGACTACATAGCCTGCTTTGATAGCTTGTATGTATTTATCCGGTGCCCTAATAGTTGATACTGCCAGTGATTTACTCCTGTGGAGTAAAGGTAAGCATGTTACAGTTTCTGGAGTATTATATTGTACATTAGAGCTAGGCATTTAAGAATATTTGGGGGGAGGGGAGGACTTGTATTACCGGTAGTGTTTGACCAATAATCAAGGTGATAATTTAAAGTATGGGTTATGTACTGTAAAGTCCTGCTTATCTGTACTTCATCACAAAGCCCAAACAGCCAAGGGACTCCCTCCCCAACCCAGCTTTTCAGTCTTGTGAAAAAGATGAAACTATGAGTGAGTATATTCAAAGAGCAACTAACATAATATGGAATGAATTGCTGTAATTTTTTCCTTAGAGTTAATTGAAAAATACTGTGATTTTAAAGCATTGCAAGAGCTAAAATTTCATCATAAAAAGTAAAAATCATCGTCTAGTTTTAGGGTTGATAACTAAATTGATTTACAGTAGGAGACTTCACGTAATTGTGGAATATCTAGTAATATCAGTTAAGCAGAACCTTAATCTGTAGATTAAGGAAATTCTATTCCTTAACATCTAGGTTAATGGAGTTTATCTTATAAAGCTGATAGTTTATTAAAAATGTAAAAATGAAAGATGTCATTGCTTCCTTGTAATGAAATGAAGAAAAGTGAAATGTTGGGTTCAGCATTTAAAGTTTATTCAGAGACTATCATTTAACGTATTAAATGCTGTGTTTTCAACTAAAGTGTGAAGTGAGATTTAATATACTAGGCTAGAGGAATTAATCTTGCTTTGGAACTGTTTTATCCATCGTACATGTAAGTTTTGAATAAGAACAGGATTCTTTTTCACAGTTACCTTAAAAATGTTATCTTAACATAGAAAGCTTTGGTGGGGGTAATTCTTTAATAATGGGGAAATAACACTGGAATTTAGATTTTGTTGGCTAAAGCATTTTTAGGAAAATGTATTGTCTAACAGTTTTTAAATAGTTAGAAGAATTTATGTTTTATATACCAGATCAAATCTAAAAAGGCCAGATTTTTTTTCTTTGTTATTGATGTGTTAAAAAATTGTCAAGTGTTTTACTTCCACAGAAAATCTTTATACAAATTTTAAAATCATCATTCTTGGGTGGTGCAAATGGTTAAATGCTTGACTGTTACCCTAAAGGTTGGCAGTTCGAACTTCCCAGAGGTGCTTCGGAAGACAGGCCTAGCGATCTGCTTCTGAAAGGTCATAGCCTTGAAAACCCTGTGTAGCAGTTTTACTGTGCATCCATGAGGCTGCTAAGTCAGAATCCACTCAACAGCAACTAACAACAGCAGCCATGTGCAGTTATCTAGTTGCAAAGCAAACCCTCCCCCCCCTTATAGGTAACTAGTGATTTAACTTTAAAAGAAACCTATGCTTTTGAAGGAAAAATACCGATTTTCTCTGTGTTGGTGATATTTCATTATAGTTTATATCTTAGGATTTTAAAAGGAATAATTACAGCAGTAAAATACCAGAAAAATTATTTAAATAAGGATTGTTGCTTGTGTAAACATTCTTATAAAAGGTGACAGTCATTGGTCAGTCATGTTACGTACCTGAAATGTGTATATCAAGTTAACATTCTTTTGTAGTTTTTGAACTGTCAGAACTTGTTATGAAACCATAAGACCATAAGTTGTAGTAAGTGTTTCAAAGTTACAGAATACTTTTTTTGGTCCCTAATTCAAAATTGTGAGGAAAAGTAATGGTTTATCATTTTACCGTGAATAGGGTGTCTAAAGCTGTCTGGTTTCACAGTAAAGACTTGTTGGGGAGAAAGTGTCTTTAAATAAACTTCTTTTTGTTGATTTTAAAGTGTTAAACCTAGTGACCTCAAAAGTCCATGGAATACGTTTCTTGGGTAGGAAGAAACAGGACTATTAAATCAGATTTTTCCACCAACCAGTACTGCTCCATATGTATTGTCTTTTATGTTTTTTAAATTATTGTTTACTACAATTACTTGCATTTATGTACAGTACAAATGAGTCTTCAAAATGATTTTGGGTGCTATGTTTCAGAGTCTTAGGCAGGCTAATTTCTAGTCTTTATATGGGATATTTTAAACTTATTTCTGGTTTATTTTTAAGTCTGTTGCATTGAAAAAAATAATCTTAGGATCCATTTATATAAATCTCATCCTGGCCTTTTCTCTTTCCTTAAATGTTGGAAATGTCACATAGCTCATCCATGTAGCCCACTAATTTTTTTTTAAAAATTAAGCTGTTGAATAAATGAAAGAGTTGCTTGGTAATAAATCGTTGATTGTCAATAAATGGTTATGATTAAATTGTGCTTTGCCCCTTCTAGATAATAACTTATTTTTATTGAGCACTTAAGATGTATCAGGCTCTGTTCCATGCCCTTTAATGCCTTTTAGTCCTCACTACTGGTATCTGAGGGTAGACTGTTGATTCTCGTTTTATACGTGAGGAAATGGTCTTGAAATTTTATTTATTTCTTAGATCATACACTTACTAGTAGAGCTGGGATTCAGATCCTGGCAGTTTGACTTACTGCTCTTAAACTTTCTCTGAAAGGTGAGAAAATAGTGTCCCACAAAGCGGCCAAAATCCCTGAGTAACACTGCATGGCATCTGGATGGCTATCTGCTGAATTACGTAACTTTATGCTTGTTATTTGTGTAGCTTGGTAATATCAGTATCTAAAAGCACAGAGACTTCTGTTGTTGAGTTGGGTGTTTTAAGTTGAAGTCTTGCATTTTAATTGTCGGATTATTGATAGATTTACAACTAAGGGTCAGATATGCAGTGATAGGGCCCATTTCTGTTGCTACTTGAGTAAGTCTTGTGACACAGTTTTAACTTGGCTGCTTAGGATTTTTCTGAAGTTTTGTCTCTTGGAAAGCATTTATACCTCTCTGCAGGAGTGACAGTGACTTTGAAAGTCGGTCTTTGTATTTAGTGGCAATAGAGGTAACTTGGATGGGATCATAGGTATTGTGCTTTAAGCAGTCATGAAATATAATTTAAATTGATACCATTTTATGTCATCTCATGATTTGAAGGAGAGCATGTCAGAATGCAGATGTTTTAGAGACGCTAAAGTAAGTTCCTATTTATCCAGAATCCAAATGAACATCCTTTTCCAACACTGTAGTATATAGTTATATCTTGATGTTCTTGCTAAATAAATATGGAGTGGATTTAATACATTTCCATTTAGTAAAGATGGAATGGATTTAATAGATTATTCACCTGTAGATACTAGTTGTTGAGCAAATCTTCCTTATTAGGTCAGGAAAAAGAAGGCCAAAGGGCTTTGTGGCTGCCAAAATAGATGTTAATTCTAAAACGAAAGCCACTTAGGCTCTTGCTCAGAGACTTTGCTTTTACTTAACACAAAATTTGAAAAAGTTTGAGAGCTGGCTACTTACTCTGCTTACCCTACAAAATGGAAATGAGGCATTTCAGAAAAGCAGGTCGTGATTAATCTGGCAAAAATGAAAACTAGAACTTGTTAAAAGAACTAAGAAATGAGATGTGCTAGTGCGTTAATAAATAGTTCTAATTTCAGAAGACACTAAGGACATTCTACAGTAGCATAATTGTTAGTGATGACTGACCCATAAAGTGTTAAATCATGATTACTGTATTCGATTAAGAAGACAAAGTTTTATTGCAGATGGTTGATGGCTAAAAATTAATTAAAGGAG